CCTGTCCTGTCCTGGTCCTGTCCTGGTCCTGTCCTGGTCCTGTCCTGTCCTGGTCCTGTCCTGGTCCTGTCCTGGTCCTGGTCCTGTCCTGGTCCTGTCCTGGTCCTGTCCTGGTCCTGGTCCTGTCCTGGTCCTGTCCTGGTCCTGTCCTGGTCCTGGTCCTGGTCCTGGTCCTGGAAGCTGAGGGACAAACTGTAAACATGTTGTTTGTTTGGAATCATGGAGCTTTTTGTTGTTTTATGTGAGAGATCAGAACCAGAACCAGACCCGGTCCAAACAGACCCAGAACCCAGTGGGGTGGGGGGTCAGAGGTGTAGCAGAGGGACGAGGACACGCAGGAGATCATGTGAATGTGTTGAATCTTATTTATTGGTGTAGTGTGAGGGGCTGTGCTCATGTTGTTTGTTGTTTGTTGTTTGTTTGTTTGTTGTTCCAACATGTTTATAAACATGAAGCAGAAGAAATAAACAAAGAGGAAAAACGGTCAATAAAACAAAGTTCAGCTGGGAGGATTCCTCTCACCGTCCTGTCGCCTCGCACTTTATTCTTCTTACTGTGATGACGATGATGATGATGATGATGATGATGATGGTGATGATGATGATGATGGTGATGATGATGATGATGATGGTGATGATGATGATGATGATGATGATGATGGTTGTTATCATTATTATGTTGTTGTTTGTTTGTTTGTTGTGCTTTAAAAGAAAACGTACAGCTCTTTGATGTGGTTCTGTTGAACATTTCAAACCCAAACGTCTGAAGCTTTTCTGACCAGAACATTATGACCCCTCACCTGTGAAGGAGGAGCTGGTTACCATGGCTACCCCTCAGTGGGCGGGGCCTGTAGTTTTAGCAGATTTAGCAGTGCTCCAGAGGAACTGATGGGTCCAAACATCTCATTATTTAAATAAAGGTTAAAGTTTCTGCAACAATAGGATTATTTTACTTTATTTTACATTTAATTGTTTGGAAACTTTTTAGACTAAAATGATTTCACAGAAATGAGTTTAGTTGTTTTTTTTACTTCAATTGACTTTTATTTTGAAAGGCTACTCTGAGTTCCTCCATCCKAAGCAGAAGAAAAGCACAATGAGTTTTATTTTCCAGTGGGTCCGTCCTGTTCTTCAGAACAACACGTGAACTTTGTTGTTTTCATTTCTTCAAAGTGTCATTTTTAAAATGAAAAAGCAGATTTTTTGTGAGCAGCATGTTTGTTTAGAGTAGAAGGTGCCAAAGACCCGACGTGTCCTCATCAGAACCATGAAGATCCAGAACTTTTACTGTGACGTTCTGTTTTCTGTGTCGCCACATGGAATCAAAAATAAAATGAAAAAATAAAATCTGGCTTCATAATAAACTGATTCATGTCTTTATTTGGTGCCAGAGGTTAGAAAAATACTGACTTCATTTCCATTTCATGAAGATTAATCACAGT